TAGAGCAATGTGATAAAATAATTAAAATTTTATTCTTTGATTATCATCGTATCCTAATCAAAGTTTATAATTTTATATTAGATCTAAGCTTTGTCACACATAAATAACTTCAAAGCTTACTAGAATAGTATATTAAATAATTAATTAATATCACAATTGTCTTATACATATTAAGATATAATTATTAATAAAATCATATAAATTCTTTTAAATCCAAACCTGCTCGCATATGTTAAATCATAATTAAACCATACTAGAACAACATGATAAGATAATTAATTTGAATCCTAGCTTTTAATCCATTGTAAGATATTATTATTGTCGAATTCTAATAAAATTCTATAAGATTAGATTAAATCCAAGCCTAATTATAATAACAAAAACATATTCAAGGCAGAAAGAGGCTACATGAGATGCATAATATCCTTCCTATTAACTCTTGGTAATCCACATCTAATTATTGTCAAAAAATCTATTTAAGCTTTAATTTTTGCTCTTTATTCATACTTCGCTTTGTCTAATTACTAAGTTAAAAATTCAACTTATCTTTTTTTTAACCTTTTATTTCTATTTTTTTATTTGTGTAAATTTTATTCTTTTATTCTCTTGCTTATTGACTTTTCTTGACAATAGCAACACTAGCTGAACTATTTCAAACATCTAAAGAATATCAGAAAGAACTCTTCCAAAGGAGACAAAAGTGATTTAGAGATAGTAAAAATGATAATACTTCACAGTTCACTATTTTTAACTCTAAAGAACTTGAACACTTACTTATCATTGAAGTGCCAATTGTTCTAATTGAGCCTTTTATTATTAATACTAATATCCAAACTAATCTGATTCCCTGACCTCAACCTCTTCACATCAAAACAACATGTCATGATATTAGAAGTATGGATCAAACCTGTAGACATTGCAAAGCAAGATTTTGGATGTTAGAAAAAGATCAGAACAGTGGTCTCTCTTTTTCAAGATTTTCTATTTGCTATGCCAACGGCAAAGTAAAACTGCTATCTTTATTTGAACTGCTCCAATATTTACTAAATTTATATATATCAAATACACCTCTTGCAACTGAATTTCATAAAAATATTAGAGCTTATAACAATATTTTGGCCTGCACATCTTTTGGTGCTAATGTGTTCCAACAATTTCAAAGACAAGGTGTATTGAATTTCTGCATTCATGGCCAAATCTACTATTTTATTGGCTATTGTTGCCAGAAGAAGGTAACACTCTAACATTTGCCAAACTATATATCTATGATACTGTGTATAAAGTTGCAAATCATCACAACATCATGCATGACTTGAATCAAAATATTTTACAGAATTTACAGAATATGCTAGATAAATATAATACTTACATTCAAAAGTTTCATCAAGTAAGAGATATTATTCAAGAAAATCTAACTAATACAATTTCAATGATAATTCATGGTGATAAAACTTATGATATGCGTTGCTATAATGCACTAACAGCCCCTGAAGTTGTTGTAATTATGGTTAATGATAGTCATGAAATAAATCTGACAAGTTGAGATATTCTTCTTAGGTTGCATAATGGGAATTTGCAGAGAATATCAGAGTGTTATCACTTATATGACCCGCTTCATTATGTACTGTTACTCCCTGGAGGCGATAATGGTTGGCATATAAACATACTTCTCATAAATACTATAAAAAGAGAAAGAGTCACCCTAATGCAATTTTACTCCTATAGATTGCAAATTAGAGACAGTGATTGGATACAATATGCTAGCCATTTATATCAACAGTATATTGTTGATCAATATGCTAAAATAGAACAAAATTGTTTGATTTACTTTAAAACAAATCAAAAATCTTTTCGAGCTGAGTTGTATCAAGGCATTATAGATGCATTATATGCTAGTGATAGTACTACCAATGTTGGTTATTGTATAATTCTTCTTTCTTCTTTTACTGATAAACCACATCAAATGTATCAACTATATTAGAATACAATAACTATTATAACTCACTTTGGAAAACTTGATCTTTTTATAACTTTCACCTGTAATTCTAAATGGCCAGAAGTAGCCAGAGAATTATTATCTCATTAGCTTGCTGCTGATAGGCCCGATTTAACAGCCTGTGTTTTTAATATAAAATTGCAAACACTATTAAAAGATCTATGTAATAACTATTGGTTTGGTAAAGTTATTGCATATGTATATATAATAGAAACATGGTCTTCCCCATGCCTATATTTTACTAATCCTTTCTTCTAAGCACAAATTACAAACAACAAAAAATTATGATGCTATTATTTCAGCTAAAATTTCAGATATCACATTATATCCGCTTGCTTATAAAATCGTCTCAAACTTGATAATATATGGCCCTTGTAGTGTTTTGAACCAAAACACCCTATGTATAAAAGATAGTGTTTGTAGAAAACATTATTCTAAGAATTTCCAAGAAACATACTATAGAAAGCAATAGTGGATACTCTATTTATCATAGGCGCCAAAATAATCAATTTATAAAGATAAGAGATCATTAAATTAGATAATAGATGGGTCATACCTCATAATCTCAAATTAATTACAAAATATAATATATATATTAATGTTGAAATTTGTAGTTCTATATTAGCTATTAAATATTTATATAAATATATTTACAAAGGGTATAATCACACTACTGTTATCTTTTCTAATTCAGCTCAACCAGATACTTAACAACAATCGACCGAAACTGTCTAGGTTAATAAAATTAAGATGTACCTTGATGCAAGATACGTTTCAGCTTCCGAGAGTATCTGGAGAATTTTTCATTACAAACTATATAACCATTTTCTGAAGATACAATGACTAGCAGTTCATCTCCCAGAAAATCAACTTATTACTTTTTAAGATAGAAAAGATCTTCAGAATATTGTTAATCATGCTAATAGTTAGCTAACAACTTTGACGGCTTGGTTTCAAGAGAATATAAATAATCCCTCAGCATGTTAATATATATATGTTAACTTTCCCACTTATTATAATTGAATACCTAAACATAAGTAGGTATCTAGACAAACATTAGTAACTATGCTTGCTAGACTTTACATAGTACAACCTTTGAAAAGTGAACGTTATTATCTCAGATGTTTATTTACTCGCACAAAAGGTGCAACTTCTTTTGATAATCTCAGAACTATAAATAGCTATGTATATACAATCTTCAAAGAGGTATGCTTTCTTTTAGATCTTTTTCAAGATAATGCTAAATAGGATACATGTCTGTTTGATGCAAGTATGGTATAGACAGAACACCAACTATAACTTCTCTTTGCAATAATACTTCTTTTTTGTCAGCCTATTAAGCCTAAATTATTGTAAACTAATTATAAATTTGCTTTATATGAAGATCTTTTATATCAAAATAATTAGTTATTAAATAATCATGATTGTAGCATTATTGCTATGATTGAATATGAAGCATTTACTCTATTGAATAATTTACTTTTATTAAATGGAAAATTATTAAAGATTTTTCAAACATGCCAATTTCTTCGAAAACCCTATCAAATATTGAAGATGTATTAAATCAGTTAATATATGAAGAAAAATCATATAATATTACAGAACTAGAAAATAAATTACGCCAAAATTTATCTTTGTTAAATGAGAACCAATGTGCAATCTTTGATGCTATTATACATGCAATTGAATATAAAGACAAAGCTAGATACTTTTTTGTCGACAGACCAGGTGGAACTAGTAAACCATTTTTATACAATCTCTTATTATCTAGCATTAGATCACATAGTAACATTGCTTTAGCAGTTGCGTTTTTAGAAATTGCTGCTCTTTTAATAAAAGGTGGCTGAACAGCTTATAGACAATTTAAAATTTCACTTAAATCTAATAAATCCTCAATATGCAACATTTCAAAAAATAGCAAAGAAGCCCATTCAATCTGCTTGGCAAAGCTTTTCATTTGGAATAAAGCTTTAATGGTTAATAAAATTGCTATTGAGGCACTTAACTATCCATACATTTCAAAATATTCTTCAAGTAAAAAAACTATTTGGAGGCAAAGTCTTTGTCTTTGGCAGTAATTTTCGTCAAGTATTGCCAGTTATATCTCATGGATCCCATGCAGAAGTCGTCTCTGCTAGCTTACCCTGATCTTCTTTATAGACACATCTAAGAGTAATGAAATTGACAATTAATATGAGACTTCAACAAACTAATAGCATAAATAAAAATCTGAGACAGGAAAAATTTGCAAAATTTCTTCTACAAATAGGAGATAGAAAGTATCTAGTCATCACGGATGCCAAAAATAAAATAAAGCTCTGATCAGATATAGTTATAGCTGGTGAAAGATTATCAGATCTTATTAATTTTGCCTATCTGAATTTTGCCCAAAATTTTACCAATATGAATTATCTAATTGAAAGAGCTATATTAACTCCAAAAAATGACGATACAACTAAAATTTCTAATCTGATGATAGATCAATTTCCCAGTGACATTTGTACTTACTTAAGTGCAGACATTGCCAATTCACAAGATTGCGAGATGGACCAATCCTATTTATACTCTCCCGAATTTTTGAGATCTGTAAAGATTTCTGGATTTCTACCTAGTGAATTAAAATTAAAAGTTGGAATATTTATAATACTCTTACACGACTTAAATCCTGCAAAAGGCTTATGCAACAGAACCTATTTGATTTGTTGACATCTTTCTAACAAAGTGATTGATGCTAAAATTTGTACAGGTTCCTATATTGATAGCAGGGTTTTTATACCTAGAATCATGATTTCTTTTTCTGATACTAGATTACTATTCTTTTTAATATGTTGACAATTTCTTGTATACCCTGCTTTTTCTATAACTATTAACAAATCACAGAGCCAAACATTGAATCAAGTTGGTCTTTATTTACCAGAACCTATAGTCAATTATACATTGCTTTATCAAGAGTTACTTCTTACTGTTTGATTAAAGTTCTTCTTTCTGATACTACTGAAATAAATCAAACTAATAATATTGCATACCATGAAGTATTTTCATCCTTATAGTCTAAAAAAAAAAAAAATAGATATACATATCTGATTTTTGAATCTATCCAAACTTTTACCCTATTCAAATAAAATCTTATTACAGTCAACACTGGCTATAATCACACTCTTGGGACCATAAAAATATGTGATTATAACAAGGGTGTGATAATAAAAACAAATTAAAATAATAATAATAATAATAATAATAATAATATAGTAATAATAATTTTAAAACAATATTGCTAAAAAATTTATTTATTATTATAAAATTATAACTTTAAAGAAAGTTTTCTAAAGTTTTTTGCTTCATATTTGCTAAATATTTTTTTCTAACAATATTATTATATTTTTTGAAAATATTCAAATCTTCAATTTTAAAATCCACATCTGTTTGTTGTTTAAAGTAATCAATAAAAGTAGTTAAAGCATTTAATCCTTCTTTATGACTTATTAAATCTAGCTCTTCATCACTTAAACTATCCTCAAATTCTACAGACCATATTGCAAGATCAATAATTTGTTTATCATTTAACATTTCTTCTGTTAGTACAATTTCATTATCATTAATATAAGCAGCAAGCCCACTAATACTATTAGCAGTTTCTGATTCTAAAATTTGCCACAAATCTTCTAAATTATTGTTTTCTAAATTTTGTTGTTCTTCGATTGCTGTTTCGATAGTTGATGAGTTAGAATTAGGTAAAATACCTGTTTTTTTTTAACAATTATGAATAGTTTGTTGTGTAATAGTATTCCACACATCTTCAATAAATTTAATTGCTTCCAAAATATTTAAATTGCTATAAGAAAATGGTTATTGTAATGTAATATTTAAGTACTGTAATAATTATTTATTGCAGTTTGCAAAATTATACAAAATTTGCAGATCAAAAAAAAAAAGAAATTGATGATTTCTGATTTCTAATTTCCAATTTCTTTAGACTTTTAAACCTTTATATTAGACTTTAATAATATTAAAGTCAAATCTAAAAGTCTAATCTAAAAGTCTAAAAAAATAGTAAAGAAATCAGAAATCATTGATTTCTTTTTTATTTTTTGATCTGCAAAATTTGCAAACTGCAATAATTTAATTGATTAAACTTATTTATTTTCTTCATTTTGGTCAAATCTTCTAATTAACTCTCATGCATATAATTGTTTATATTTATGCTATATAATTACCAATATCGAATTAGATTATAAAAAGACAATATAAAAAATAAATAAATATTTGTTATACTGTACTTTAAAATTATTAATCATGCTAGCATCCATAGGTTAAAGATACGCAGTTGTATAAGGTGACAAATAGTGGATGGTAATGTTGGTTAAGTTTAAGGCAATATTTTTTTTTTTTTTTTTTTTATGATTGCTATAGATAAAAAAATAATTTATAATTAAACATGCACTAATTTATACGATAATTTATACAGTAATTCATAATAAAAATAAATTATAAAATTTATTAAAATACAGTAATTAACATTTAGATATCCTCTTAGACTCAATTTGACATACCCTATACCTATAAATGAGTGTTGCAAAAGAAAAGCCAAAGTGAATATTTAAGTTATTACTGCAACAAACCTATATTATTATATTAGTGATAACTAAATAATCACCTCCTGGTTTTCCCTCTAGCGCACAACATATAATACTGTTACACTTATTAATTACCTGCTGTTATTATTATTATTAGAAAAACCACGTTTATGTCCATTGCTAAGAAATGAGAAATAATATCAATTTAGTAAATATCATTGTACTTTTCTCAGATTAAATTAAAATGAACAAA